TTGGACAACTTAGAAGAAATAAACAAATTGCTAAACACACACTCACTAAGAAAATTCAAACGGGAAGAGATAGAAAATCTGAACAGATCCATAACTAGTGAAGAAATCGAATCAGTTATCAAATTTAAATGTCTGGTAGAATTCCCCAGGGAAGGGTCCGATCTCCCTGTGCTGAGGACATAGTCAAGGTGGGCTGAGTTCTATACCCCACACCACGCTTCGTTTCCAGGTCCCAGTCCAGAGGCTTTGTTTATACCATCCGAAACAGTCCCGGAGGTCGCTGCTTCCCTGCTGCCAGGGGTTGAGTGGGGGGTGGGGGAAATGTCACAGCCTCAGGTCTGCTGGGGTCCAGCAGCGATACAACCTGGGATCCAAGGCCTCTGCGCCCCGCGTGCATGTGGGGGACGCAGCAGCCTCACCCCTCTGCGTTCCTGGGGGTCAAGCCCGGGGAACGCAGCCTCATACCCGCAGCATCCACGCCACTGCAGCCACCGCCACCGGGGATGGTGCCAGTGTTGGGCCCGATTCGCGAGTCCCCTGAGACCCCCAAGGAGCCAACACCGATGCAAGTACAAAAGGGTCTTTATTATAAGCTCAAGCAGTGGCTCACCTGCCTACCGGTGTAGTGGCAGCAAGGTGAAGCCCTGAACAATAGCGAGCAGGGTTTTTAAGGGGTAAGGGATGGGGGTGTTACAGTGCACACGTTGTATGTATAGCATCATCACATAAGCACCAATTACAATTGTACAGCATCCATGGTAACAGTTTTGACCAGTATCTGTGAGGTGTTCATTACTTTTGGTGGGACCCAGTCATGACTTTTGAGAATCCTTTGAAAATGACCAATTATGAGATGAGTTCAAAGGGCCCATGTGGGGTTCAGGCAAGTGGTGAGAAATTGGCTAGTTTGTACAGAATAACTGTCTACAGTTGCCAGCCTTGACTTAGACCACAGGAATGTTTTTTGATTAGCTGATATGACAGCGGTCCAAGGATGGCTTTAGCTTTGAGCAATCTGAGGAACTGGGGCTACGTGCAGCCTGAGGTTGCTCTTAATGGAGACCTTAATCTCAAAATGACGTTACTTAGGCTTTTCACCGGGAGGGCTGCAGAGCAGTTTTTTCTGGCACCTTCTGGGACCAGGGGCACTTAGTTCAAAGTCAGCACCCCAGCCAGAACTAAAAACACTCTCTTTCCAAGCCAAGGTTTTTCTCTTCTCCAGGGACGGTTCTATGAGCAATCTCAGCTTCTCTCTCCTTTCCCCTGGACTCGCCACGTCTCATCACTCAACGCAGCTGCACGCAAGCCAGGTTCCCTTCCCTCCCTCCGCATCTCCGGATCCTGGCCGCTTTTATCTTCCCCAGTTCCCACTCATGCACTTATGAGGTTTCCTTCCCAGTGTATTCTGTCTCTTTCTCTTCCCAAACTCCTATGGCTCAGTGTCCTATGACTTCAGGCCTTCTCTGTTTGAGAGATGGGTGCGAGCAAAATGCACGGAGCGCCCTACTTCTCCGCCATCTTGCTCTGTTCTAATTTGTACTTTTAACAACCGTTGAGGTTGCTGTCCCCAGACTTCACCTCCAGTAGCACAAATCAAGAGAAAACAGAAGAACACACTTGAACGTCTTATGCCCAACCATGCTGTCTCAACACAAATAGTGCTATTGCCAGTGGAAATTCTGAACAGCTTCTGGAAGGATGACATTCTCTGCTCATCCCCTGCAAGTTAAGAAGGGACTAGATAAGGCAGTAGTGTCTGAGCAAGGCTGTATGGAACAAATAATATGTACTCATTTATGAAAGGGATGTTTATTGAGTATCTAATACACAGTCCAAGTGTATAAGGATTCACGGTCTCCAGGATGCTGGGCAGGAATGTTACATTATGCAGTTTAATCTTTCTAAAACCCTGGTACTTAGAAACCATATGTTCATTTTTTTTTTCTCTAGGATTTAGATGCTGGGTGACCCTTCCTGGGAGCAAAGATTCCTTCTCTTGTTTTTCATTATCAGTAATCTTAAAAATAATGTTGGATGCGGAAGCACAAACATAGAGAACAGACTGGGAGACAGGAAGGTGGATTAGAGGCTCTGAGGGAAATTTAATGGGTCAATCATTTGCACTTATGTTTGGTTAATTTTAATGTGTGGAGAATCAATGGATATCCCAGGGATGGAAGGTGGGATGTTATGTTCTTGGAAGCACAGTTTGAACCAGAAAGGTGAAACTGACTCCCTAAATTCTAAGTTCTTTGCTCTCCTTTATCCGGGCCTGAGTATCAGGAAAGTATGAATGCCAGTTCGCCTAGGAAGTGGAGCTGCTAGGAACTCTGTTCTCTGAACTGTTCTGAGAAGGATCAGGGGCTGGCGGTGGAGCTATGGAGGGCAGTTTTGTGGTCTACGAGATCATTTTCGACAGAATCTGAAGGGATAATTCTCCGCTAGGCTCTGCAAGCACCATGTAGACACGAGGCCTATTCCAGATGCAAATTCTGGGACTGCTGAACTCTGCCCACAATGTTAGCCCCAAAGTATGAAACAGGAATAGGGGGTGGGGGAAGGCTCATCATAAGTTCTACTGGAGTTGGGATTGATGGACACCTTATGCGTTTATATTACACAGGGTGATCCTGAGTGGCTAGTCCCTGATCCCTGTCTGCTCAGGGTCCCTTACATTGTGGGTTGTATGGTTAGGTTGGGGGGGGGGCGGGTTCACCTACATTCTGCCTGTGCACATGTGTGAAGTTTTGGTACTAGGTAAGGCAGAAATGGGAGAGGGCATTAAAAACTCTGGGTGTGGTAACATTGGTTTGAGAGAGGCCTGGTCCCAACTTGCCTTAACTGTGAACTCAGATATGTGGGTGGTTAAGCTAATATTCAGAGCTGTTGCTCTGAAAACATGGGCAGGTGACGGTAGGAGCACATGACTGCAGGCTTTGGCCCTGAAGGGCGTGGTGTGTGCCCTAAGTCCTTTGTGCACATGTGCAGCACTTGAGGGGGAAACTCTATCTGCACAGGCGCTCTGGGGAGCCATTACTAAGTGTGAAATCTTATAAAGCACATGTGCAAAAGTGAGCAGAGTAAAGATGTCACCTTGACTCTTATGCCCACAATGCAAGCGGGCAAGATATTCATACCATATGAGAAAAGTGATCAAAAGGTGATACTGTGTGGTGTTAAATGATGAGCTGATGTATATTCAAATTTTCAAGAATTCACTGGACCAGTAAATTTGTCCATTCAAAAGGTTAGGCATGTTCCTTCTGTAGTAGACAGCGGTAAGCTTTGTCTAGGGATGATGTGGAAGCAAAGGAAGGACAGTGTTTGATTGGATAAACTTTCAGTAGTTACCTTATTTTTAGAATGCAATTTTATACAAAGAAAAATTGCCCCAAAATTAATATAATAAATCTTAGGACTTAGGGGTATTATGGCAACCTGCCTGAAAGGACAAATATGGAGATTAAAATACCACATAAAATGTAAATTAGATGACATGAGCGGGAAAAAAATAGTACAGGGTACAACAGCAAGAGGTTAGAAAACAGATTACTGTAGAAAAGATTTATTAGCCTATACAAGTGGTTTTGATAAACTATTGGCTACTTGTTACAGTAAATTACAATTTTTAGTCAACAGTATTTTCCCACACACAAATTCTAGAAACATTTCTTTCATTGTTTTTTGGCTGTTTTAGAATTATTTGCCCTTTCTTATTGATTTGCTCTTTACTTTTGTGATTTGATAGTGATGTACTTCCATTCTTTTATCTTTTGTGTATGTACTACAGGTTTTCACTTTATGGTTACCATGACGCTTAAAGAAAACATAATAGTCTACTTTCAGTTGTTAATAGCTTAATTTTGCATACTAAAACTCCTCCAAACCTAAAGTAATTATTTAAAAATGTGAATGTACAATCTTATGCCATTTTAGGGAAGAGTTAGCTATTCTCTTTCTGATATCTATGAAGATTTCATTTCAATCACATCAATTCATATTCTCTAGTTCTATTATTATGAAATTTATCAGTACGTTACTAGACTGCCACCTCTTTTTCCTTAAAGACCAATCAGTAAAAGTTTTGTTTCTAATAATGAGAAACTTGTTTAGTTTTAATAAATGGAGGATGATATTCTAAATTCTTTCATGATAAATTCCATCAATGTGATAACCACAAATAGCATCTTCATTTAGATTTCTACATATACTGCACATTGCATTGTCCTTCATCTTCCATGGAAAATTAGATATGCCTGAGCCTCACCTAAGGAAGGGCATCTCATATCTTTGATGCAGCAACAATCAGACACAAACTTTCTTACACCCCCTAGGAATAAATGAATTTTCTAAAGTAATATGAAACTAGAAACACATTAATATTTGCTAGTCACAAATCTTAAAGAAGGTCAATGTAAAACAAAAACATATTGAAATTATACCTATGCAAAAACCTATCTCTTCTATCTTTTGAAGTAAAATAGCACATACATTGTCTAAGTGTTGAACTTCACATTATTCCTTGTAAGTCTTTTGATGTAATGTCTGAATAGAGTGACTGATGTGGTGCTTTCTACTGTGAATTTGATGTTCAATTAAATACATTTCTAAATATATGTTTCAAGTTACTTTATTTTTTCTCTGATGCTTTCTAAAGTTTATATTAAAATGAAGGTCTTTGTTCATTCATAACATTCGTAGGGATTCAACCAAGCATACATTTTGGAGTATCTCATGAGTAACGACTGAATGGCAATTAAAGGCTAGGCCACTCTCTTTACATTTTACAGTTTTTTCTTGTATCATAACTATGATGTTAAGTGCATTGTGAGTTTCAGCTAGAGGTTTGTCACTTTCTTTACATTTGTAATGTTTCTCCTTAGTATGAACACTGTGATGCTGAATAAGGCTGAAGCAGTCTAAAAATGTTACATTTTCCCTATTTATAGAGCACCCCTCTAGTATGAATTGTCTGGTGTCGACTGAGACTTGAACATGGATTAAAGGGCTTGCCAATTTTTTTATATTGTAAAATCATCTCTAGGACACATTATCTGACCAGGCATCAGGGTTTACACAGCTTAGACACCTTGCCACAGTCTTTACATGTGTATCATGACTCTCCAATATTAATTCTCTGATGTGGAGTAAGAGTTGAACTGTCCTTACAAATTCTCAGTCTTAAAATTTGTAAGGTTTGCTCCAGTATGAATTCTGATAATGACTATAGGTAGAATAGTGATTAAAGGCCTTTCCACATTTTTTACACTGGTAAGTATTTTCCCCAGTATGAACTCTGTGATGGTCGAGTAAGGCTTGAGTCCTGGGTAAAGCCCTTGCCACATTCTTTACATTATAAGGTTTCTATACAGTATGAATTCTTTGATGTCGAATAAGGTTTGAGTGCTGATTAAAAGCCTTACCACATTCTTTACAGTCGTAAGGTTTCTCTCCAGTATGGATTCTGTGATGTTGAGTAAGGTTTGATTGGTGTTTAAAGGCCTTGCCACATTTTTTACAGTCATAAGGTTTCTCTCCAGTGTGGATTCTGTGATGTATAGTCAGTTGTGAATATCCATTAAATACTTTGCCACATTCTTTACATTTGTAAGGTTTTTCTCCAGTATGGATTCTGTGATGTTGAATAAGGTTTGAGTGCCTCTTAAAGGCTTTGCCACATTCTTTACATTTGTAAGGTTTCTCTCCAGTATGAATTCTGTGATGTTGAGTAAGGTGTGAGTGCTGGTTAAAGGCCTTGCCACATTCTTTACATTGGTAAGGTTTCTCTCCAGTATGGATTCTGTGATGTTGAGTAAGGTTTGAGTGCAAGTTAAAGGCCTTGCCACATTTTTTACATTGGTAAGGTTTTTCTCCAGTATGAATTCTGTGATGTTGAATAACTTTTGAGTACTGGTTAAAGGCCTTACCACATTCTTTACATATGTATGGTTTCTCTCCAGTATGAATTCTGTGATGTTGAGTAAGGCTTGAGCGATGGGTAAAGGCCTTGCCACATTCTTTACATTTGTAATGTTTCTCTCCAGTATGGATTCGCCTATGTCCATTTAGTGACGAGCCGTCCTTAAAGGCTTTACCACATTCTTCACATTTGTAAGGTTTCTCTCCAGTATGGATTTGTTGACGTTGAGTTGGTTTTGAGTGTGAGTCAAAAGTTTTGCCACATTCCTTACAAACATACCTATTCTCTCTAGTTTCAATTGTCTTATGTATAGTTAGTCTTGATGAGTGACTAAACATGTTCCCAGGTTTATGACATCTGTATGTGTTTTTTCCCACATCAGTCCTCTGATGATTACCAACACTGGAGAACTGGTTATGAGCTTTCCCATATTCATTATATTTATAAGAATTCTCTCCCATATGCTTACTCTTATTATATGTAATTAGTTTTGAGCTTTGATAAAAGTCTTCCCAACATTTATTATATTCAAAATGCTTCTCTGAAAAATGACTCCTCAGACATTTGTTAACATTTGAGGTATGGCTAAATATTTTCTCAGATTGACTGCATTTAGAAATTGTGTCTTCATTATAAATGCTCTCGTAAGTTTGTGGGGTTGACTGCTCAGTAAAGGACCTCTGAAATTTATGCAACTTAGCACTTTTTTCTTCATTTTTAAATCTCCGACTTTCAGAAATATTAGACTGAAAGGTCAATGCAATCCTATTTTCAAAATAGTTCAGATAATTATTTTCAGCATGGACTAGGTAATTTTCCACAGTTTCCAAATTTTCATTCCATAAATCTGTATGTTTGAATACTTGATTTGAGCTATTGCTTACAGAAACACACTGCGCTGCTGAAGTACTGGACTTAAAAAGGAAGTGTTTCCAAAATGCTTTATATTCTTCACCATTTGGGGCAGTGAGATTCTTATTATGGGCACTTGTCTCAGTTTGGATATGTCCTCCATGATATCCTTGATGCCCTTCACTTTCACCATCATTGTCCCCATCTGTCGTTAAGTGTAAATTCTCAAGTGTACTGTGTTTATATGCCTCCATTGACTTGTTTTGAAAAGATGCTTCTATGCATGACTTTAGCTGGAAGCTCAAGGTGCCATGTGAAGATACAGCTGAAAGATATCAAATAACAGAAAAGTAAAATCATTCCACTTCCTACTTTCAGATGAATGGGCTGATGACTTCTATTATACAACCTTAATATCAGTCACAGAAGGTCAGCAAGATGGCTGAGAAGTAAGCATAAAGACTTCATTCCTCCGTGGGCACATAAATTAGTACACAACGTACTGAGCACATGGCCTGATAGATAATTCAGTGTCATGGTGTAGCACAAATCACTTTCCTATGCCTCATGTAAGCCCAAAATTACTAGAAGGAAGGAAATTTAAACATAAAACACAAATGAACAAACTAGGATATAGCAAACATAGGAAATATCAATAGTAGAAATATTTATTTTTCAGAATAAGTCAACAAAGTTGATAGACTTTTAACTAAATCAAGAAGGAATCAAAGAGAAAATCAACTAAGGTCAGAAGTGAAGAAGCGATGGCAGACACAGTATAATAATACCATGCAAATAAGAATAATTTTAAAAGGTGACAATGGATAATTATAAGCCAAGATAGATACTAAAAAATAGGTATAAATTTCAAAAAAGATATAATCTACCTGGACTTCATCATGAAGAAATATTTTTAAAAATCTCAACTGATCTACAACTATTAAGTAAATTGAAAAAGTTCTTAAAACAAAACAAAAAACTCCCAATAAATAAAAGTCCTGTGCCAAATGAATTCTCAGAGAATTCATACAAACAGTTAATGAGAAAGTACTTCATTCTCCTCAAACATTTCCAAGGAGTAAAAACAAGGGAGATTATGGAAAAACTCTCTGTGACACTAGCATTAAGAGGTTATCAACACTAAAGGAAGATGCTACAAATAAAGAAGAATACAAATTACTACCTGTAGAGAATACTCATGCAAAGTACACACACACACACACACACACACACACACACACACACAAATAAAGCAAACTGGATCAAAAGTTCATTTTACCATTTTATAGCAGTCAACTGTGAATTCTTCCTAGAATTCAAGGGTGTTTCAGCACATGAAAACTATCAGTTTAAGACTTCACATTAACAGAATAAAGATCAAAAATGGTGATCATATTAGTTACAGAACAGGAAGTGAGCATATTGAACACCATTTCATGATTAAAAACAGTCAATAAAATGAGCTGCCTGGGTGGCTCAGTCGGTTAAGTGTCCGACTTTGGCTCAGGTCATGATCTCACGATTTGTGGGTTTGAGCCCTGCATCTGGCTCTGTGCTGATAGCTTGGAGCCTGGAGCCTGCTTCAGATTCTGTGTCTCCCTCTCTCTCTGCCCCTCTCCCATTCATGCTCTGTTCCTCTCTGTCTCAATAATAAACATTAAAAAATATTTTAAGAAAACTCAATAAAGCAGGAATGCAAGGAAACAACTGCAACCTAATAAAAGCCATGTATGTATGAAAAGCTGAAATCTCACATATTCAATAGTAAAAGACTGGAAGCTTCTCCTGTATGATCAGACAAGGCAATGAATGAAGTGACTTCACCACTTCCATTCAAAATAGTTGTGGATGTTTTAGTCAGAATACTTAGTAAAGAAAAAAAAGTAAATGAATCTAAATTAGATGACAAAAAACAAAATTATTTCTGTTCATAGATGACATAATCTATAAAAATCCTAGAGAATCCTTATTTTTATATTTTAGTTGTGTTATTCTTTTGGTCATCAGTTGCATTATTTGTTTCTAATAATTTTATCTATTAGACACACCAATTTCAATTTTTTATGCTATAAAGGCTTAAATTGTTTGTTTCAATTTTATTTTCCTTTTTTCCTAAATGTTTATTTATATTTGAAAGACACAATCCAAAGCAAGCTACATGCTCTCAGCATGGAACCTGACATGTGGCTTGAACTCACGAACTCTGAGATGGTGACCTGAACCAAAATCAACAGTAGTGTGCTTAATCAACTGAGCCACCCAGGTGCCCCTCAAATTTATTTTCTTAACCTTACACCATAAGGAACTAGAAAAAAAGAACAAATATAGGTGAACTGTAGTAGAGGAAGAAAACAACAAGGAAAAGTCAGAAATAAATAAAATAGAGACCAGAATAAATAACATAACATTGAAAGTAATGCCCAGTATTTCCAAAAAATAAACATCATCTATTTTCTCACTAGATTAACTAAGGAAAAAAGGAGACAAGACCCAAAAACCAAATGAGAAATGGAAGAGAAAATAACACAACAAATAATCCAATTAGTATATAGTATGATAACAGATTACTATGAATAATTATATATTAACAAATCAGATAATTTATGGGGAAAACACAGATAATCCCTAAAAATGCACACAAGTTAGCAAGATTGAAATATGAATCTTGAAACCAAGAAATATGAAATCTTCTGAGATGAATAACAAAATTGAATTTGAAATTTAAAAAAACCCTCCCAGCACAGAAAAGCCCAAGACCACATACCTTCACTGGTCAATTCTAACAAACATTAAAAAAAAAAAAAAAAGATTAATGACAATCTTCTTATAGATCTTACAAATGATGGAATAGAGGGAATCTGTTCAAAGTCATTCTATGAGGCCAGGATTACACTGGTACCAAAGCAGGATAAATGCAATACTAGAACAAAAATGTTTAGTTTGTCCATCATAAGTATTGCTACTCTGACTTTCTTTTGACATCCATTTGCAGGATAAATGTTTCTCCACCCCTTCACTTTTAATCTCAAGATGTCTTCAGTACTTGATTGAGTCTCTTATAGGCAGCATATAGATGGGTCTGGGTCATTTTTGTTTTTGTTTTTTAACAAAACACCCTAAGTGTTCTTATGGGAATGTATAAGTACCTTTTCTTCAAAGTAATTATTGATAGATATGCATTTATTGTTGTTTTATTACTTGTTTTGTCATTTTTTCTGGACATTTTCTCTGATCCATTCTTGTCTTTGTCACATTTGGTGTTTTCTGTGACCGCAAAGATCCCTCTTTAACATTTCTTGCAGGGCTGTTTGAGTAGTCCCAAATTCCTTTACTGTTTGCTTATCTGCGAAACTCTATCTTTCCTTCTATTCTGAATGATAGCCTTGGTGGGTACAGTATTCTTGGCTACAGATGTTTCCCATTCAGCACATTAAAGCTATCATGTCACTCACTTCTCACTTTCCAAGTTTCTGTTGAGAAATCTCCAGCTAGCCTTATGGGTTTTCCCCTGCAAGTGAATAACTGCTGATTTTAAGATTTTTTATTTATCACCGTATTTGAAATTTTAAACCCAATGTCTTGGTGTGGGCCTGCTTTTGGTTATTTTGATGCAAGTACACTGTGCCTCCTGAGGATGTCTGTTTCCCTACCAGACTAGGGAAGTTTTCTGCTATTTCTTGAAGAAATTTTTCTACTTTTTTTCTGTCTCTCCTTATTCTGAAGCTCCTATAATAAGAATGTCATTACTTTTGATAGAGACATTGAATGCCCTAAATCTCTTCTGATATTGGATAACTCTTCTGTCTCATTTGTTCAACTTAATTACTTTAGATTATTTTGTCTTCTAGGTCACCAATTCATTCTTCTGTTTACTCCAGCCTGCTATTCATTGTAACAAACCAATTTCCAATCTCATTTATTTGCATTCTTCATCATTGTTTGATTCTTCTTTAATTCTTTTTTTCCTCTGTGGTAAGGTTCTCACAGGGTGCCTGAGTGGCTCAGTTGATTAAGTGACCAACTTCAGCTCGGGTCATAATCCTGCAGTCTGTGGGGTCAAGCCCCACATCAGGCTCTGTGCTGACAGCTCACAGCCTGGGCCTGCTTTGGATTCTTTCTCTCTCTCTGCCCCTCCCCTGCTCATGCTCTGTCTCTCTCTCTCTCAAAAATAAAGCAAGGTTCTCACTATTCTTTTCTCAACTCAGTGAATGTCCTTATGATTAATGTCTCATAATCTCCATTTGGTATGCTACTGATAAATATGTTGCTTAAATCTCTGGCTGAAGCCACACCTTGTTCTTTCATTTGGGAAACATTCTTCCATCTTGGCATTTTGTCTAAGTCTCTGCCTTCCTGTGTAATTTAGAAAAGCCAGTTATATCTTCTGCTAAATCCTCCAGGCCAGTGATCTCTAGATGCTATCCTTGTCTGCTGTGGACAGTGCTTGGTCCCCGGCCTGAATGTAGTGAGTGTTCAGTAGGTGTGCTCTGGTGTCTTTGTGAAATTAGACCTGATACCAGCTCCACCAGAACTGAGGCCCTGCAGAACTGTCTGCTCAGGAAATGTGTGGGCAGCAGCTTGTGCAGGTCTCCTGGTGATGAGCTGAGCTTGCTCAGCCTGAGGCAAGCTTGAATCAGAATGGCACTTCCACCACAGCACTGGGTGGAAACCACTGTCACCAACTTAGACAACCAGTGTCCTCATTGAGCAGCCTCACTCAGGTGGCTCTGTGTGTATGCTGAGGAACAGGGACGGAAATAGTGCCACCCATCTCTCTCGTTCTCAGAAAGGCATCTCAGTGAATGTTGCCTTTGAGGGAAGTGCTCCTAGAATAGTGGATAATCTCACCCCTGTGTGCCCCTAACATTCTTCAGATGATTGTTTCCAACCTGTCTGCTCCTGAGTTGTGTGCCTGCCTTCTCTCCAGGAGCAGTGTGGTGGTCTCCTGTTACTTGTCTCCACTTGACTGTTAAAACTCTAGGCTTTAAGCCATGATGGTTTAAGAATTTATGAAGTACAGCCCCTGGCTTTTGAGAAGCATTCTCCTGCGTTCCCCTGTGTGCTCCCCTTTCTCTCACCCTTCATCACAACCACAGCTCCCTGCCCTCCACAGCACTACAATCCATTTCCCTTAATGACCTGTACATTCATGACTTCTTTGCAGCTGTGTGAGGGACTTGTTTCTGTCATGGTTGACATGGAAAATAGAGGGAATGAGAGCACCCTCTGGACGCAATGTGGTGGCCACTCAGATAAAAGGTTACCATTTGTCCAAACAATAGTGACTACAGAGCTGGAGACAAAGAGAGGAAGAATTGCAACTAC